CATTCATGTAAATGATAAATCCCACTCTCAATTTATTGAATCTACAATAGTAATTTCAGTCCAAAAAAAAATCTACAATAGTAATGTTTTTTTAAACATATTTTGCATTAACTAACTCTTAAAAATTAATACAGTTTCAAAAATTTTACAAAAATCAACTTCAATGATATACATTTTACTTTCTGTTCTCATTTTTTATTTTTAAATTTTGTTTATAATATAATTTTTAGAATTGTTTTTCAAAATAAAATAAAATAATTTTTGGTTATTTAATTTAAAATAATTTTAAAATTAAAAAATAAGTTAATAGTGATGGTTGCAGGTGATTAATAATAGTGATTTACGATAAAAATTGGTTAAGATAACAAAATTTTTGGATAATTAAATGTAATATGTTCTGAAAATAAGAAAATAAAATAAAAATAATTTTAATATTTTTTATTTTTTATAAAAACAAAAATAATGATTGTTTTGAAAGCAATTGAATTCAAAACAATTATCCAAACAAGTTTTTTAATTTTTTTTATTCTTATAAATAGAAAATAGTCTTTAAAAATAGAAACCAGACATGCCCAAACTTTCTCTAGTCATATTTATAAGGTAGATAATGAAAGATTTTTTTGTCATATTTATTAGTTACATCTTTAATTTTTTATCACAAATTTCCTCCTTAACTTCCTATTAAATGTTGATGAGAGAAAATATATTATTAAAGTAAGTATACTCCCTTTGGTCTTATTTATAAATTATTTTTAGCATATTTGATTAGAATAAAAAAGAATTAAACCTCATTAATTCTACCTTAAAATTTAATAAGCTTTCAATTTCCACCTCTATCCCTTAATAAAGAAAAAGAATTATTTTTAATAATTTTTTTAGCATTTAATAAAGTAGAAAGTTAAAGAAGACTTAGAAAATAGTGAAATGTCTTATACATAGGATCAAAATTAATTTTTTTCTATATTCTATAAATAGGACAAGGGGAGTATTTAATAGGGATAAAATTAGAATCTTATTATGAAAATTTTTAGACAAAATTAATGAATTTTAATATTTTTCTTAATTTCAATTAAATATATTGGAAACAGCTTATAAATAAAACTAAAAGACAAAGATTTTGATTCTTCCAATTAATATTTACATGTTTAGTTCGAAAACTCTTTGCTATCAAGTATCAAGAGTACATAGGGTTGTTGGTGTTATATATTCTTCTCATTTCGCTTTCCCCTTTGAACTTGAATTTCTCATTATTATTATTTTTAAATCAATGTATCTTTCATGAAAATTGCCGATGGCTACCGTGTCATTATTGATTCCATGTGTTGAATGTGTTTTGGAAAAACAATGCTTATTGATGGTCCATGAGCCGCAGTTTAATAACTATAGAGTATATTGACCACTCTATTTTTGTCCACACTGTCATATTGGATGAATCGGAAGGGAAATAAAATATAGGAGAATGCCATTTAATAAAACATTAATTAAATTAATTTGTCGTTAGCCTAAATTTGGATTGACAACTCATAAACTGTAATTGATTGATCCATGATGTACTCTCCCTATGGTAGTATTTATAAAATAGAGAAATAAGAATTTTTTTTGCTTAAATTATTATTATTTTTTATTGAAGCCAATCATATGTGAAGGAGATTGAGAATCACAATGAGTTACAGGGATAGACAATCCCCATTTTCTTATATTTCATTCAAAAGTGCTTTTCCTGAAGTTATCATCTCTCAAAATTGTGTTTACGTTAGAAGCCTGGGTGTGTGAAATCTTCCTTTCTTCCTCTTCCTTTTTTTTCCTTCCCCTTGCCTGCCATAGTTAACAATTTCTTCTTCTTCTCTATCGGTTTTCTCAAGTGGTGTTTCTCTTATGGTATGTTATGATTCTTTTTCTTGATGAATTCTTTTCATTACAGATTTATTGTTGTTAAACAAGTGCCTTTTCAATACTCTACAATTGATTCACATTTGAATTTCATGGTTTAATTGTGCACTCTCATTCTTATTTTTCTTCATTGTGTCATTTGCATTATTATAAGCTTTTATAATATTTTTTCAAGTCAGCCCTCCATATTTGGATTTCCTAAATCCACTTAAATTTATAATTTCTTATTTACAAACCATATCAACATTTATGAGTGGTCCTAATATTCAGAAAATATTCAACAACCATAATATATTCGTCTATCAAATTTTGATTACTTATTAATTTGAAATTAAAATTTTGAATTTCATTTTTTTATACAATCAAAAACATGAATTTCATTTATTATTTTTAAAACAGAATTTGAAATTATGAGTAAATTAATAAGAAGTTGAGATAGTAGGGAAATATTTGGGGTAAGGTAGTTTTATTTATTTTTAAAAACTAAAAAATAAATAAAATAGAATAAGAGACACATGTCATCGTAGTAAAATGTTGTAACAACAGTGCATAGTTTTCTTATTATTTTTGAATTAAAAATTATAAATTATAAATAAATAAGTTAATGAGAAGTTGGGATAAAGTAGTTATATTTGGGGGAGGTGAAGTAATTTTATTTATTTTAAAAAATTATAAAATAAACAAAGCAAATTAGAATTAAGGACACGTGGTGTAATCATATGTTACTTGTGGTATGTAATTTTCTTATTATTTTTAAATTAGAACTTGGAAATTATGAATATGTAAATAGAAAGTTAAGATAATGGGGAGATATTTGGAGGTAAGGTAGTTATATTTATTTTAAAAATTATAAATTGAAAAATAAATAAGGCAAAATAGAGTTAAGAACATGTATCATTGTTAGATGTTACTTACAATTCTATTTTTTTAGAAAGTTGAGATAATAGGAAGATATTTGAAGGTAAGTTAGTTTTATTTATTTTAAAAATTAAAATTATTTATTTTAAAAATTAAAAATTAACAAATAGAATAAAATAAAATTAGGAACACATACCGTCGTCAAATGCTGCTTGCAGTTCTACTTTTTTATGAAGTTGAGATAATGGAAATATATTTAAGGGTAAGGTAGTTTTATTTGTTTTTAAAAATTAAAAGACAGACAAAGCAAAATACACTAAGGGACACATATCGTCATCAGATGCTGCTTGTAGTTTTATTCTTATATAGTAGATAGATAATATAATTTAATAGAAGATTCTCATTATTTATTTATAGAAATATAAATATGTGAGCCTAATATCACATCCGAGCCTTGCCAAAACAAAAATTAATCCAAGTGATTCCATGCTTACATCTGTTGTGTGTAAGAAAGAATATACTGAAAGATTTTGACCGACAAAAATTATTATTATTGTGAATTTTTTTTGGTGATATTTAGTTTTAAACTACTCTAACATCAAGATTAACCAAAAATAACAACCAACAGCATTAAAATGAGGGGAAAAAATAAACTACAATATCATGGTATGGTGAATGAAACCAAAACAAAGGTGAAGAGAAGAGCTTGAAGTATGTACTAATAAACAAAATAAAATCTAATCCCATTGAAATAATATTAGTTATGCTAGATAATTTAACATCGTTAATACTATATCATAATCTTTATGGGCATATTTAAAAATAAAGAAACTAACATTATACAAGAAAAAAACTATAGGTACTTGGAATAATGAAACAAAAGTTTAAGGGTTAATAACAAAATACAATACAACTATAAGGATTAATAGTTATTTTTTTTTAAATTTTAGTTGTTTGAATTTGATTATTTATTTTTTTTATAATTTAGTATTTTAATAATAGTTTTATAAAAGATCAAATATGAACAAATCTTGATACAACGAATAGAAAAGGAAAAGTTGGGGGAGAGAATGGGAAAGAAAAATGAGAGAATTTTTGCCTGCTTGAAGTCTGCATGGCGCCGCAGCTGCTATACTATAAAAGACAAGGAGAGTGCAAGACGCAAGGACCATGTCATTTATTACAATGATTTGAATACCTTAGAAATTGGAAATCCACGTGAATATCTTGAAATTTGTATTTTTAAAAAAGAAATGAGAGGTTTTATGTTTTATAAAAAAATATTAAAAAAATAAAAACTTTATATAAATTCACTAATCTCAGCCATAGAAGATTTAAATTCGATCCACGCATATATTTTTTTTTTTCAATCTCAATTTAAAAATTAAGGTGAATTTCAATGATAATTATCACCGTATCCTATTATTTCCATTCCTCTAAATCTATAGAATTCAAAATTCAAAATATTAAAATGATACAAATAAACCCCACCATGTAAAAGAACAATATGTTACTAGCGAGGGGTGGGCCTAGGGCAAATGCTATTTTCTAATGTGTCAAACCCATATTTAAATTTTCATCAAGAGAGATATTCACATAATACCTTTTAACTATACCATGAACAATATTACTTTTAATATAAGAAATTTTTTTAGTTTATTATATAAAATTATTACTGGCGGATCAAGTTTAATTTTAGTGAAACTAAAGCCTGAAGATTCTTGCACCAAAAAAAAAAAACTGCCCCTTTGCCTAAAAAAGCCTGAGGGTTGCGTCTAATGTGAAAAAAGAATTTAAAATTTTTTTGGTGAAAATGACATTACTAGAAAGAAAATTAGTCTCAAGGACCAAATATAATTGAAGGATCAAAGCCAATATTTTAGTCATTAAACAACTTGAACAAATGATCAAAATACCCTTCTCTTTAAACCAATAAGATTGAAAAAAAAAAAAAGAAAAGAAAACAAAGGTTGCTTGTTTAACACATATACCCCAAGCTATAAGCCTTACATCTTAAGCCAATAGCTTTACACCCCAAGCCAATAGCATTGTACCCCAAGCAAAAGCCTTACATCTCTACTAATAATCATGTATCCTAAACCAAAAGTCTTGTACTTCAAGCAAGAAACCGTGCACCTAAATTAGAAGTTGTGTACCCCAAGCCAGAAGCCTTGCATCGAAACTGGAAGCCTTGTACCTCGAACTAGAAACCTTGCACCCCAGCCACACACTGGAAGTCCGAAAGTTAAAAATTAGAATTTTCTAATATTATAAAAATTAACATATTTTATAATGTAGTAAAATTATGAAAGTATAATTTTTATATTTCCGTAATTGCATACAAAATTTTTTTTGGCAAATATAGATTTTTAAATAATTCTGACTTTAAAGAGGGACATTTTGGTCAAATTAAAAATTTAAGAATCAAATTTAACAGTCAACTGACAATTAAATGGATGAAAATAGAATCTCAAATATATACAGAAGGTTTATGTATCATATATTTTAATTTTAAGAGATCTTATATGAGTTTTTAAAATAAAAAAAGATGGTTGTATAATTAAGATATAATAAAAGGATGGTTGGTATATTTTACTTTATGATTTCTTTTCCTTTCGCCACTGGAAAGTGTATATATGATTATTGTCCTGAGAGGCTGTGATGCGAAAAAAAGAGATTCTCCATCGTTCTCATTAACCCATCTATTTTCTTGCTCCCCTTAAATTGATCAAAGTTAATGAAAATAAAAATAAGAAGAATATTCATATTCTAAATAAAAATGAATAAAATGATCAAAGCCTTACATCCCTAAATTGCTTGGGTGCAAGGCTTTTAACTTGAAGTACAAGGCTTATGGCTCAAGGTTAAGACTTTTGGCTTGAGTGCAAGGTTATGGGTTAGGGTGTAAGGCTTCTAACTAAAGTACAAAATTATTGGCTTGGGGTATAGATTTCTGACTTGAGTGCAAAGTTCTTGACTTAGGTTATATGTGTTGAACAAGTAGCTTTTATTTTATTTTTTTAAATTTTATTGATTTAAAGAGAGGGGTATTTTAGTCATTTGTTCAATTTATTTAATGAATAAAATATTAACTTTTGGTCCTTCAAACACAATTATATATTGGGACTAATTTTTCTTTTAAAAGGTACTTTCCACCAATTTTTTCTGTTTTTTTTCTGGCCCCTATATGTATATTGAAAATAACTGCACATATAAATATATTTATATTAAAGGAAAATCGAAAATCTGGTATTCTCACAGTGCACAGGGAACTTGTCTGAAACTCTCCAATTGAAAGGTTTCAGACTCACAGACGAGAGTGAGCCAAAATCTGCGCACTATTATCTCCTCCAATATTTTGGTTATTAACTCCATGGCTACACTTGTTCTTCTTCGTCTTATTTGCTGTATTAATCTCCGATGCTGCGACCAATTCCTTGGCCTTCTCCCTCAATTCAAACTTCTGAATCTTCCCCGTCGACGTCTTTGGCAGCTCCTCCATAAACTTCACTGCCTTCGGAACCATAAAAGACGGCAACTTTTTCCGGCAATGACGTACGATCTGCCCTTCGTCCACAACTTTTTCCAACTTCTTCTTCTTCAACGCCACGAATGCACATGGACTCTCCCCCCACCTTGGGTGAGGCATTGCCACCACCGCCGCCTCCGCCACTGCCGGATGCGTGTAAAGCACCGACTCAACCTCCACGCTGCTGATGTTCTCTCCGCCGGATATAATCACGTCCTTTGACCTGTCCTTGATCTCGACGTACCCATCTGGGTGTATCACCCCCACATCACCGGTCCAGAACCAGCCATTTTGGAAAGCTTTTGAGGAAGTTTCGGGGTCATTGTGATAACCTTTCATTATCCCGCTTCCTCTCAGAACGATCTCTCCCATGGCTTTACCGTCTCGCGGTACGCTCTTCATCGTCCTCGAGTCTTTCACATCCACGTCCGCCATTGTTAATATGCTTATTCCTTGACGAGCTTTCAGTCCTGCCTTTTGCTTTCTCTCAAGCTGGTTCCAGCTCTTCTGCCACTCGCATATCAGTGCCGGTCCCGTCGCCTCCGTCAGCCCGTACCCATGAGTCACGTGAAACCCCAAGGATTCGACCTGTTCGAGGAGAGCCGGCGGAGGCGGGGCTCCTCCGGTGAATATCTTAACCGGAGATTTCAACTCCGCTTCTGGCTTCCCCTCTAGCATGATGCTGAAGACGATGGGAGCACAACACATGTGGGTCACGTCGTGAAGGGCTATGTTTCTGTAGATTCCAGACGCTGTGACGTTCCGGAGACAGACGTTGGTGCCACCGCGCGCCGCCACGCCCCACGTGAAGGTCCAGCCATTGCAGTGAAACATGGGAAGTGTCCATAAGTAAACCGGTTCACTTCCCATTTCCCATGCGAGAATCAAGCTCAGAGTACTGAGGTAAGCGCCTCTGTGACTGTAAACAACTCCTTTAGGCGCCGAAGTCGTTCCTGATGTGTAATTCAAAGCAATCGGATCCCATTCATCTTGAACTTCCTCTGTAACATAATTCGGATCACCATGACGAACCAGTTGCTCGTATTCCAGCTCTCCCAGCCTGATCCCCGTCGGCGAGTTGATGTCGTCGATGACGATGACAAGAGGAAGTGACGAATTGTTATCAGTCAGGAGCAAACGAAGCGCGTCACGAGCCTTGGGCACGTACTCGTAGTCCACGAACAGCACTTTGGCTTGAGCGTGACGCAGAATGGCGGCGATATTGTTAGCGTTCAAACGAGTATTGATGGTGTTGAGCACAGCACCCGCCATAGGCACAGCGAAATGCATCTCGTACATTGCAGGAATGTTAGGCGCCAAAACCGAAACCTGAACATGTACACAATCAAACTGACGAATCGTCAGCATATATATATATATATAAGCGTATTACTATCGAGAATGAGAAAGTAGTATTGTTGCATAGTGCTTACGACATCGTGTTTGGATATGTTGAGGGAGCGAAGAGAGGAAGCGAGACGACGACAACGATGATAAGTTTGAGGCCAAGTGAAGCGAGAGGATTCGTGAACGATGGAGATGCGATTAGGGTAAGAGGAAGTAGCTCTGAGCAAGAAGGTGAGAGGAGTGAGTTGGGTGAAGTTTGCTGGGCGCTTTGGAAGCTGATCCATGGCCGAAGACTGAGAAGAGATCAGAGAGAGAGAGAGAGAGAGAGAGAGAGATTGTGCGTGCGCCGGTGTGGAGATAAAGGTGATAAGTGAGGAGAATTTATTTATAAAGGGAACAAGGTAGGATTAAAAGGAGTGCAGGAAGGAGGAAGGTGCCACGTAGGTGGGGATGGGTTTATGGGGTCCACAGAGCAATGAATGACGGGGAAGATGCTGGATGCAGTGGAAATGAAAGTGAATTTCGCTGATGGTTAGGAAAATGAACAAATTTTAAATTTTAAATAATTTCTTACAAACATTTAACCAGTTTGTAAATTTTATATTTATTTTTAAATAAAAATAATGAAGTATATAATTATTAATAAATATGTATTATATTAATTTATGTAAAAATTTTATGTTAAATATCTTTTACTTTTATTTTTCTATATTTTTCTCAAAAACTAATAAATAAATTATTAAATTTTTATCTTCTGCCAAAAAAATTAAATTTTTCCCTTATTTTTAAAAAATAAATTTTATCTATAATTTTTTAATTATCTTAAAAATGTTGTAATAAAAAATTAATTTTAACCATATAAATTTTATTAATAGTTATTTTGAATAATTTTGAATTTTTAAAGAATACTAATAACTTATAATACAAAATAACTATAAGGATCTCATATGTGATTAGTTTAGCTAACCTCCAATTATTATCTTCCTCAAAACAATGAACTCGAAGAAATATGGACCAAGTCTGAACCCATATGGGCTTAGCTAAAATACCCAAATTTCTTTATTATTAATAATAAAATAAACTTAAAATTAGATAAAAATTTAAAATCTTAATTTTTTAATATAAAAATTATTGAAATCGACTTAAAAAATAAAATAATATCTAATAATTTAAGTATTTGATTCAACCCAAAAGCGTGAAGTGTTAAAGCTTGGCTTAGTTTAGTTATATAACCTCTTTTATAAAGTTAATAACAACTATGCACAATTGTAAAAATATATATATATATATATTTAAATAACTTTCTCACACCTATTAAATGAGGATTTCTCATACATGATAAAACTCTAAGAAATTGTTTGCAATAATAATTTTTCATGGGTAGGGATTTGAGAGAGGTTCTATTAATATATAAATTCTGAGAAAATTTGTAATGCAAACAAAATATTCTTTCCTTAGAAATGTAGGCAAAAAATTTATGGTTTGATCTTGAACACAAAATCAATATTATCTGAATTTTTTTAATTAGTTAATAATTAACTTCATATAAAATAAAAATTATACAATTAAATATATTTTTCATAAAAATGATTTTTCAATTAATTAATATTATTTAAAAAACTTATTGAAAATGGGAACATACACTTAAACTACTTTCTCACAACGTTCATCAATGAGAATTTCTCATGATAACAATTTCTCACAGTATGAATTTGAAAGAAGTTTTCTTGATATATTATCTATGATAAATACTTAAAATGAATAACTTGAAAACTTTTGTTATGAATAATGCTTCAAAAAAATTCTCATCGTTAAGTTGACTGTAAGAAACAAATTCTCAAAAAACTTTCTCGCATAAACTATTTGGAGAGGCTTTCTCCGGATGTATGAGCTGTGAGAATTGCTTGCAAAAACACCATAAACCACTTGAATATTTTTCATGTATAGCTATCTGAGAAAAGTTTTCACGAAAAAAAAAAAACACGATAACTCTTATTTCATTTAGAAAAGTTTTTCACGGCACAACTTTCGTAAAAACTTGTGTCTGTGAGGAGTTGGTTTTACTATTTTTTTTTTTTGACAGCCTTCCTTTTATTTCTTTATGACCACAAGCTGTGAGAAAGTTGTCACCAAATTGAACCCGCAATGCTGTAATTCTTTATTTTTGCATGTTTTCTCATATCATTCTCATGGATATTTCTTTCATATCATAACCATGAAAAACATGTGTGAAAAATTATGCATAAATTGATGTTCTGTGAGAAAATTTATAAGAAATTTTTATGTTTCAATTACGTAAAAAATTCTTTTATAAAAAAGCTACTGAGATATTAAAAAAATTTGTAAGAAATTTTTATAAATTCGTTTTCCAGCTCTACTTTTCGGGCCACTTTTTTTCAACACAATAATATTATATAATTTAATGAGATATTAAAAAAGCTACTGAGCCTACACGTGGAGGGAGAAACATGATATTTTAATATCCGAACCCTATTCCAAGATTACCTCTGCGCCGTCTTCTTTTTCCCTCTCCTCTCTGCGGCCTGTCAGTGTTGTTGAAGGTAGCTTTCCAAGTTTCATCCTATCAGATGATTTCACGCCAGATTCGCTAATTTTCTGAAGGAAAAAAACACATCTAAAATGGTTATTTGCTTTAAAACGCTTGTTTTTTTTTTTCCTTCCATTTTTTTGAATTTTTCATCTCTCTTCATCATCATCATCTGTGGTTTGATCTCGTCCATTCGTCCCCCTTTCTTTTCTTTTCTTTTCTTTTTTCAAGATTTAATCTCTTGAACCACTTCAATTGGTGGACCGTTTGGTTTTTTTGGTTTTTTCGGTTCATTGACCGTTTGATTATTCTTCGGTTTTGTTGCCTCAATCGGGCCATACAAGTCGTCAGTTCCCAATCAAACCGGCCGATCCTGTTCATTTTTTTAAAATCATGCAATTTATACACGTCTTATCACTCAAGCGCATGCATGTATGTCTTTTCAACATAAAGTGGCAAAACAAGGAGTACAAGAACTGGCAATCAATCCTCAACACATATTTCAGATTTTTCAAACAGGCATTGAACATGCGCACAATCACTTTCAAGACGCTACATCATACATTAAACTGTAGTTTTTTTTCCCAATAAAGTAAGGAAAAACAACGTAAAAATAAATATACTCAAGAAATAATTGGACATGTATACAAGGAAAGGCACACTTTTGCTATACAAATGGATTAGAAACGAATTAATTTGATATTAAGGAGAGGAAGGGGGTAACTCACATGCAAAGATATAGCTTCGTGAACATGTAAGCTAATTTAATGATTGCTTGTTTGTTTTAACACATTATCCTTCTATTTGCAATAGAACATGATAATATGAAACGGAAGAAGAAAGTGTGGAGGTATAATGAAGTTTAAAAGGGAGTGAAATTTGGTTAAATTCTTTGTCTTGACATCTTATACTTCTAACTTGCCACCAATTCTCCTAATCTTGCTACCTAATCATGTTTTTGCCATTGTTAGTTTCTAGATTGACAACTAATCTTTTAATATTGTTCAATTAATCCAAAAAGAAATTAAAGAAAAAATGATGGAAGGCAAAGATGAAAAGGTGATGAAACTAATATAATATTATTTTAGGCATGTATGGCAAGAAGGTGACTACTCAGTACTCACAAGGCCAAATGAAAATAATATTCTCTTCATTTAAAAATAAAAAACATTTTAATCAAATCTCACCCTTTAATAAAGTAGTTACTTATTTTCAAGTTAATTCTATCTTTTCATATATATCCTTATTAAACATCTTATAATAAATATAAAGTCATTCATTAATAGGGACACTTTTTTTTTTAAAAAAAGACAATGATTATATTTCAAAAGACTAAAAATACCTTACATTTTTTAACATCCAACTCCTCAAAAAATACTTTATATTTTTAAATGAAGGGAGTACTAAACAACATATAATTTGTATAGAAAATGCTTCTAAATGAAATGAAGACTAATAAACACCACAAGGAAACTAAGGTATTAATGTAACCTCATTAATATTTTAATTATTTTTCTTAATTCGATAATGATGAATAACAAAGGAGATTAATATTTCATTACTAGATGGGGAAGCACATGATAAGGTTAATTGCGGTTTTATGGATTTAAAAAAATTATTAATTAAGGATCCTTAGAAACAGGGTGGAGGCCAGGGGTCCAGGGGGAATTAATTTTTTTTAAATAAAACATAAGGGTCATATATTTTCAGCCCCTCTATCTAAGTTAGCATATCATAAAAGCTTTGATTTTATATGTACTCCTTTATGCATGTATGGTGTAACTATTTTAGTAACTTGAAGATATAATTGTCATATGATTTCTTATTTTTAACAAAATGATGACGCATGCACATGCTCTTAAAATATTGATGTCATTTAATTTTACTTTTATTTTATATTTGATAAAAGAAATTATGAGAAATATTACTAATAAACTTTGTCAAGCACTATAATAAAATTTGAAGATGTTATGTGCTTAATATCTACCATAAAATCACAAGTTAATATATTATGGTTAAGATGTTCTTCTAAAAAAATTACTTTTAAATTTTTTTGTAATAACTAATAAATTAAAATTTATGGTATGAATGATTTTTACTTTGATATAAACATAAAGATTTTTGTGACAGTTGAGTTTCATTTATAGTGTTGATATATTTATTTACTATAATTATCAATCAAAAGAACTAAATAGTAAATTTAGTGAGTAAGTAATAAAGTTTCCTAAATAGAACAAATTTTAGATATCAAGGATGCATTTAAATCATTTAATGCCCATATGAAAGATAAAATTTTCATCAATTTAATGATGCTTTATATTGAAAAGGAAATTTTTAAAAAATTTAAGGCAAACATGATAATTAATTATTTTTATATTATAAAAAATTGATGAGTGAAACTTAAAAAATAGAGGTATATATTTTTTAATTATATCTTTGTAAAACTAAATATAAATATAATTATATATTTAAATATTTATGTTATATTAGTTTTATATATATATATATATATATTTTCCTTCAAATATTATATATGCTTTATTATGTCAAGTTAGGGTGGGGGGGGGGAGTAGATAGAGATCATAAAACATTTTTTCTCCTCATTTTAGGATGAATAGAAAAATAAAAACATGAAGTAATATTCAAGCGAGAGTCTAAGAGATATATAGCATACGGGTGTTGTGGCCTTCTTATCTCCATTCCATTCCACCAACTTTGAAAAGCATTTCTGTTAAGGGGGGAAAAACATTTATCTTTTTAAGAGGAAATTTAGTACAGATGAGAAAC